ATTTAACTAACACTACCGCAATTTTCTGAAAATAGGCCGGATCTTTATCGACTTTTTTCTACGGGGCAGATTTGGCTGAAAGTTGGGTTCTAGGGGTAATTCGACCTCCTGAACACGAATATCACATCCACTTGGCCTGAAAGTGCCTGGCGCCCGCGCCACAGGCGCCGGCGCCAAAGTACCCTAGATCACGAAATCCGCTGAAAACTTGTACCTAGGGGTAGTTTGACCTCCTAATCACGAATATCACATTCCCTCGGCTTGAAACCGCTCCGCGTCCGCGCTACGGGCGCCGGCGCCAAAATGCCCCAAATCACTGGCGCCTATGGCGCGGGCGCCAGGCAATTTCAGGCCAAGTGGATGTGATATTCGTGTTCAGGAGGTCGAATTACCCCTAGAACCCAACTTTCAGCCAAATCCACCCCCGTAGAAAAAAGTCGATCAAGATCCGGCCTGTTTTCGCAAAACTGGGGTAGTAATAGTTGAATAGTGCCCATTTTTCTATCAATCACTATAATGTGTAATCTACTTACAGACTGTATAGCCGCCTCAAGAGAGGTTTGCGAGACTTGTATGATTTGTCGAGCCATATTGTACGATTCACGATTGTTGAGCTGAAATGATGAAAAAATTCGTACTTGCCCTTCTTAGAGAGACAATGCAACAGACTATGTAGAGTTGTTCGTCGGAGATGACGGGGCGTGTCAGCGCGGCTTCATTTGGCGCCTTCTTTTTTCATCCAGCAAGTGACAACACTGTATCACTGTATCATGTCGTTCGCATCAGTGGTTTTTCACCAGATATGGTCACTTACCCGCTTAAAGACAATTTCCTCGAACAAGTGTTACGGGTAGTAGATGCCCAAACATGAACCATTAGCCCATAAGTAACTTCTCATTATAGAAAGAAGCCTGAACATATACCCCCTTAGCAGTGGCCTTGGACGAGTTTGTCGGACGTCGGCGCGCCCAATCAGCAGTATTGAGGAACTACTTCCCGGCAAGATCACAGGAAACCACTCTACGAGGCTTCAGGCAACCACACGCAGTTCGGCTTGTAAGAAGTTGTCTTGCAGAGTGAAAGTAATCGTGGTTGCAATGGTTGCAATAATCACGCGTCTCTAGCTTCTTTATCTCGCCGTTTCGAGTGACGAAAGTGGTATATTCTCTGCGAATGCGGACAACGATGAAATGCACGGAGGCATTTCGCGGAAACTTGATCGCGGGACCTATCTTTGAACAACTGGTGGAGAATGGATTTGGCGGCGCGACTAACACAGCCGCGCGGACACGCCCTATCACCCGCAGCGACCAGAGTGTAATTAGCAACATAAGCTAATGAAAGAATTGCAATCACCTTTTGCGGGTTAATAAGATAGAAAAACAACACATCTAGTACTTCCGTAGAGACCTGATCCACATCCCTCAGCAACTTTGAGATAATTCCTATTAGAAGAGCGATAACCTGTAATAATGAATGTCTAAATTTAACCATATTCAGTCAGAAAACAATATCCACCTTGTCTCGACTTTCGCTCTTGTCTTCTCCATCATCATCAGTAGAAGCGTTATCATCCAACGTTTCACGGACTTCCCCCTTCCAGTCTCTCCCGTTAGCAATTTCCATAGCAGTTTTGAGAAGCAAACGAATCACTTGACTGGATTCGTCATGAGGAGCCCAGAACAATACTAACGTTGCCTGACTACCGTTGAGGTTTGAAGAGCTCTGTCAATTATTGAGAGAAAAAGGCAAAAAAAAAGAAAAAAAACACCTCGGATTCGAAGTAGAGTAGCGGCGAAATACAAGGATTAGACGGCGATCCAACGCACTTTCGAGTTTTGACTATGAAGAGTAGCACCTCCTTAAAAATGTACCGATCAAAAGAAAGAAAAATAATTTAAAAGGAGAGTAATCGAAAACAATACGCTCCCACTAACCTTCAATTGTGTAGGATCTCCAAGAGGAACATTGGGAGCAAAAACGCGAAGAATGTCCGCTAGACAGCACGCCAACCAAATCTGCACATCTTTGCTGTTGTTTGCAAGAAAGCGAGTATTGGAAAGATGAGAGATCAAGCCGCGGTATCGGTCAGGGCGACCGCATTCATCGTTGGTATTGACACTTGTACGGGACTGCTGACCAGAATCTGGAAGCCAAATTATGAAGCAAAACCTTACTGAACGGCTTTGCAAGAGATTTGGAGCAGAATCTTCAAGAACTTACCCTCAGCCTTTTCACGAGTTCACTGTTCCCACTTGTACTTGCTATTGGTAAACAGTTTGGAGGATATTCAACTTTATCCTCCATCGCAGAGTCAAAGTGGGCCAGAATGGACGGATCGTCGTCAACCTGAAACTGGCTGCAATTATTCATAACAAGGTAATTTAACGCAACTGAACATTATTTCCTTCTGCGCAATAGGAGGACGATTCCTGCGATGAGGTTATGAAGCAATTGCCAAGAAATGAATCTCCATTAGAGAAGGAAGCAAAGGAAACCACGAGAACGTCCTAAACAAAACCTCTCCTTGACAGTCACATTGTACGAGTTCTCCGAACTCTCTGGTCATTAGAAAAAAAAAGAATCAAATGATTGGAAAAAGAATCCCCCCAAAGCACGGATGGTCCACTTCGCCCCTCCCTCAGACGAACCATCGTTAATTCGTCAATCCCGGGGGCTCAGTGAGCTATGTTGACGAAACAAGGACGAAATACGGAAGTGTCAAGGAGAAAAAAAAGAGAAACGCAGACGCAAGCAAAACTCACGCAGTAATAAGGCTTAAAAATGAAAAGAAAAATCGACACTCCGCCGCCTCTGTGCAGCCCTTGGCCCACAAATCGTTTCTTTGCATATCCAAGTGCTGAAAGCTATCCAATACCAGAGAAAAAAAACAAGAACAAGAACGCTGGAACACTTTCGTGAAGTCTGGACATGAAATTAGGACTACGGTAATTAATTCACGACGAGCTTCTGCACCAATTCGAATGCATCGCTACTGAATTCAAGCAGCGCTCAACAATGGCCTAAGAAGGGACTGCTACTGTCTCATTGTTTCTCAAAGAGGTATCCGAGAAAGCAGAACGACTCATGAGCTCTCAAGAGATCCACGAGTTAAGATCCTCTCAGACGAGCGTATGGAATCGTCCTACGACGTTACAAGCAACAAAGTGCTGGCATGTAATCTCCGTGCAAGTCACTGCCCTGCAAATTAAAAATAACAAAGCCCACAAAAGTCGCGCGTTTCTAGCCGTTTGATCTCGCCTTTTCCAGTAACAAAAGTGGTACACTCCTTTCGAGTGTTGGATGCCAAATGCACGAAAGAATTTTGCCGACCAGTTGATCGCGGGAACTGTCCAAGAAGTACTCGTCTTGACAGTATTGTCGATAGTCCCACTAAATAGCACAAAAACGAGAACATATCCAAGACTCTTCACTCCTTCCAAGAGTTCGAAAAATTTCGTTAGCTTTTTGACGTCTTCAAACCAGAACAAGAAAGAAACAATTTCCTTTGTACCCCCTACCTACTACTACTCCCAACCCTGAACGCCCACAAAGGTGTAAAAGCGATACCCATTATGCGCAAAGCTTAGATGACGAGCCTGAACGGAAATTGGAAAGTTCGTGAGCTCACCCGCATCCTCGACCAAAAGCAGAATCAATGGTTATGCTAGGTAACGTCCATAGATTGCGACAGTGGACAATAGTGGGGGGGATAAGAGAATAGACCCAATCAATTCTCATCTACTACTTTGGGGCGCACTGCCCCGATTCGGATACGCCAGATATTCTCGTTGCTCGCCCAAATCCATATCTATGCTCTTCATTAGCGCGCATTCTCGTCTGTTGGGCGTTTCAGCCAGAATGAGTGTGCACAGC